CGTTCGAGTACATCGCCTCAGTAGGTCCTGGCCCAACTTTTGTTGGGGGCGACTTCAATGATGCCCCCATGAACAACCCCTCTATATCTCAAGTTTTCCAAGCCGGTGACTTTTGCGACGTTGTTTCTGAATTCAGGGCTGCCCGGAACCTGGAAATGGGTTACACATTTTCGCGGACAAAGAAGCCCTCCAGAGCTCGGACTCATCAGGGACAAACAGCAAGGAGGTGCTCAACGTCTCTATCCACATCCCGAATTGATTTTTTCCTGACCAACAGTTGTGCAAGCCAATGCGTCACTCACGCCTGGCATGCATATGGCAAGATTTTTCCGAACCATGTACCTGTGTGCATCGAGTTGACCATTCCTGTGGGTGACATGAAGGCTTTCCTTTTAAAAGGTTCCCCTCAATGGTCTTTTCCCCCGCTTCCAAAGACACAGCAAGAATGGGATGCTCGAGATTCTCTCATTCAACCCTTAATTTCGACATGGCTCCCCAAGATTCTGCCATCCGCCATGGAGGGCAATGTTCATGAAGTTTGGGAGCTTGCTTGCGGGGCGACCAGGGAGATTTTAAGTAGTCTTGCTTCCCACGCTGTCTCCAGTACGAAAGGAAATCTCCCCGAATTTGTTCGTGTCTCCACTCGAAAACCTATCCGTCAATGTTCTTTGAATCAAAGTTTTGTCCTTGTTCAAGGATCTTGAACGAAAGTTTGACCACTTTTCCCCTCGAAGATCTCTCCAGTGGAAAACCATGTTGTCCAGAACAGTTTCTAATTTGCGGGGTACCTTGGACCTTGTGGGTTCCCCCAAAGTGGTTACCCCCTGACAAACCGTGTACAAGTAGACAACATGTGCAAAGACTTTCAAGCCTTCTGTTCCACGCAAGACGCTCACGCCCAAATAAACGGCATCCGAAGTTGGAAGAAGAGAATTCGCATTTCAACCAGCAAGGACAAGAAACAAGTCTATCAATGGCTTAAGGGAGGGTTTACGGGACCCCCAAAGTTCATCAGGCTTTCTGATGGCCAAGTTTCTGGTTCCATACCCACTATGCTCGAGGCGGTTTCTACCAAAATGGAGGGAATTTACAACATTCATTCTGGTGTTGATCCCTCTGTGTTAATTCACAACTTTGAATCTAAGTATGGGCTCATCCTTGACCAGTTACGCATTCCTTGTCCCATTCCGTTGTTGTCCAACCACCATTTCTTTGAAGCCTGTCAAAAGAAAGACCCCTCCAAAGCAAGTGGAATGGATGGTTGGAGGTATCGAGATCTCAAAAACCTTCCCCCTTCTGGATGGGTTTTCTTCCGATTGGTTGCCACGGTTGCTGAAGCCTTTGGACAATGGCCCGCACCTGTCTCGTGTGTTTCTCTTGCTACAATCCCCAAGGGAAGTTCTACCTTTTTAGATGTTGACAACGTCCGTGCAATTGGGGTAACTTCCATAGTGTACTCACTTTGGAGTACCATTCGTTTCTCACATGTTTCTGATTGGATGGGCAAGTTGGCCCCTGTGTCGCTCCTCGGCGGTATCAGGGGTAGAGATGCAACCGAAACCGAAATACAGCTCTCACTTGATTTCAGCCACTGCGTGGCTAAAGAAGAAGCTGTTGCTGTTTTTATTGATCGTTTCAAATGCTTTGATTTATTGATCCCCCAAGTGTCATTGCATTGTGCTAGAAGACTGGGGCTCCCCGAGCAGGTCACCCGCGCTTGCTTGGGCTTCTATGCCAACCAAACAAAATTCTTCAAGATTGCTGGGTTCTATGGACGCAAGGTCATGTCCACAAACTCGGCAGTCCAAGGCTGCTCAATGTCGATCCTCATGATCAACTGCGCATATTCTGTACTGACTAAGCACATCAACAGTATGACCCCCCAAGTTTCCATATCCACCTTCATTGATGATTGCAAGATTTGGGGCCCCGCTGTCTTCGAAAATCAAGTTGTTGATGCTTTCAATGAAATCTGTTCTTTTGATGAGGCTATTGGGCAGAAGTTGAACCCTACCAAATCCGAGATTTTGACTGTTTCAAAAGCAAGAGCTACTAGGCTCAACAGTAAACTTGCCAGGCGCCTTACCATTAAGTCAAGAGTGAAGTCTTTGGGGCGGTCCCTTTCTATGAACCAGCAACGAAACTCGACTCATCAAAACGTTAGGGTGACCAAAGCTCTTGCAGCCCTCCAAAAAGTGGGTCAGCTCCCCTTAGCTCCCGACCAGAAGGCAGTGTTCATCCAAAGTGTTGTTCATTCGGTCTGGGTTCATGGCATTGAAACTCAAGGAATAAGCAAGGGATCAATTTCCAAGCTTCGGTCACAGATTGCGAAAGTTATGTCTCCTTCTAAGACAAAGATTCGATCCCCTTTTTTGGTTCTGGCCACCCAAAAGGACCCCTTTCTGTGCCCAATCGCCAAGTGGACATTACAAGTCTTCCGATTCTTGCGGAAAGCAGCGCGGACCAATCGTCAGCTTGTGCAGAAAGCCCTCGAGTGGGCTCAAACAAACCCCTCTGTAAGGTATTCTGCTGTTACTGGATTTGCTCAGGTTCTCGCGTTTTTATGTGCCGAATTGCAGTGGGAAGTTCTTGACCCCCAACAGTTTGTGTTCAAATCCTTTGGGGAAACCTGGCTTTTGACCCATTACAGTGATTCCTTTTTCACTGAGTGTTTGGCCGATAGGCTGCGGACCTATCTGGTTAGAAAGATGCCAAAGCGTGCTGAAGGGGAGCTTCATGACGACTCTTTATTGGTTGACTCTTTCTTGACCCGGTTTCTGTTGGACTCCCCCTTTAGTAATCATGAAGAGTTCCGTTTTCTCCAAGCACATCTTTCTCACAGTTTGCAGGACTTTAGACACGCCCAGAACTTGTTAAAATCTGCCTTATGTGGGAAAATTCTCACCGGCCCTCGACTCCGCGCAGCCGCACTTCGAACCCATGATCAGTGTTCTCTTTGCGAAGTTCCAGATACCCATGATCATATTTTTGGTGACTGCCCCCTACATGAAGACACCCGCCCATCAAACTACGATACGGTGCCTCGGCTTTCCCGTAATACTGGTATTGTTTTTCGCAAGGCCGACTCCCCCAGACCACCTGGCCCCGACCATGAGAGCGTTGCTGGGCGGTTACCATCGCCCCCGATTGAATCAAGTTCCCTAGTCTTCACGGACGGTAGCTGTTTTTCTCACAAGTGGCGTCACGCTCGGGTTGCGGCTAGTGCGGTATACATACCTGCCCAATTTAGTTTTGCCACTCTCTTGCCTGGTGTTGACCAAACTTCCCAACGAGCTGAACTCTACGCAGTTTTGTTGGCCCTACTGGCTACAGCCGGAGATGTTGTGATCGCTTCCGACTGTCAAAATGTTGTCGCCGGCTTTCGCCTTCTTGAACAAGTCCACTTTCGGTTGCTCAAGGCTGAGTGCTTGGACAATCGGGATTTGTGGGCTTTAATCTGCACTCACGTTCGCAACCGATCCGGCCAGGTTGAAATAATCAAAGTTAAGGCCCACTGCCGTGTTGGTGATTTACAACAGCCGGATCACTGGACTCGTGGAAACTCTGAGGCCGACAGGCTGGCAAAATGTTGTGCCAAAGAGTGTTGGGAATCTCGCCAGCTTGAGCGAGACGATGCCGTGTCAGCAGCTGTCGCCACTCATGTTCACATCATCTCGACTTTGCGCCGTCGATTTTCGACAGTATTGCCAAACGAAAGTCAGAATGCGTACGAAGAAAACGTAGTGCTTCCCCATCTTTCCAAAACATACGCGTGCACCTGTGCCCCCCGAACCCGTTTGCGCGGGAAACAAAACGTTTACACGTGTCAGCCTCAATCGGTAATTGTTGCAAAGCCTGAACATCAATTTGTACAGGCCTGTTTGAACCAGACACTGACTCCACAGCATATTGAGGATATCAAGCATCATTACCCGATTTTCACTCTGGCTTTTGCCGCTGACCCTCGAAATCGGAAACTCCATGTTGACATCACCCCTGACAGGCTTGCCAAGTGTCAACGTCGTTTGACTGTGGGTTTAGCTCGAGACTTATTGATGTTTGTGACTCAGACAGAATGGCTGATATCCTCAGAACCGGAAGGACCCCGCGTCCCATGGCTGTTGCTTTTCCTCGCTTTCTGTAGTCACTCTCCGACTGTACATACCCACTTCGTGCAGTGTAAGTCACTGCATGCTTCCGTATGCATGTTTAGATCTGCCCTTGGATGGATTTGGAAGTTGCAAGGCATTAACGTTCTCAGTGCTAAGCACATCTCTTCTTTGCAGGAGTTCGGCCTAGGAAGGTTTAGCGGATTCTGTGGCTCTGTCACTTTCGTCAATCCTGTCCCTATCTGGTTCTTCCTTGTCCGTTTCGCGATCGCTCGTAACTCTGGGGAACCCCCTGATTGTGAGTTTGCTTCCATTCACAAATATCACCTGGATTAGTTGATGCTCCGTGCTCTCCCGTTTTGCTGCTGGCTGTGATCCTGCATGGTACCGCAGCCTCAAGATGCAGAAAAAAAATAAAAGGGTGTGATAATTGACCGTCCCACACCTGCCACGAAAATTGGACTTGTTAATTCGATCCGCCGCTGACCTCAGAGTGTTTTGTAAGAAGGCTAACAAGCGTAAACTTTTGTCTGCCTGAAGTATAGGTGAGAATGTAGATGCGCAGAGGTGAAGATGTGAAGATGTAGATGAGACGTAGTTCTGCAGATGTTTTTTTACGAAGAACCCTTCGCAGACGCTCTCGGGAAAGACTTGAGACCAACTCTCTCCTCTCCTGTCCAGATTACGTTCTCCTTCAACGGAGCCAATTCAGAGGCAAATTTGCACTCCGAGGATCTCGGCTCAGTTTGCTGAAGCGTGTGACAAAATGATATCGTCTAAAAGAAAAAGAAAGCATTCACAACATTCACTACGAAATTCCAACCATTCCGCTACCCAAACAACGTCGATGCGCAGCAAATTCAAATGCAGCTGGTGGTCAGCATTTTCTGTCCCAAAAGAGCTGAATTGGAAAGATCCCGTCTGTCATTTGCAGACATCTACTGTCATCTACTTCTCTGAACATGTCGTCCCAGAATCAACTGTCATTTGTGAGTAAAGTTCCCGTGTCATCATAGCTCGGCTAGTTTTGTTTGAGAGCATCTTATGCAAGGTCATGATCTCTTTGAAGTCCTTTGCTGCACGTTCGGGGGAAGGCCGCTGCTCACCATTGGGCCATTCCGTATAGAATAGGTCTGCATCTACAAAGGGTCCATATGTGGATGTCTTCAATGCCTGCAAGCAAACCTTCACAGCTGGCTCGTTCCCATAACCAGGCTCACTTGGGGTCTTCACATTCAGGTCTGAAAGCTCATGCTGCAAACTAGCCAGCAATCCGGCATACTCAGGGTTTGAGGAAAGATCTCTATGTTCACCCGGATCTGTTTCTACATTGTACAGGCATCCTGCGCCACAGTCATGATACACTGCATTCTTTAAGTCGCTCTCCCCTTCGAAGAAAAAGACTTTCTCCGCAAAAATATCCACGAAAGGGAACTGCGGCAAAGTGCTGCTGCAGTTGGGCCACAAAGGTCCCGGCCAAAAGCTGTAGTTTTGACCGCCCGTCAACAACTTGTAAGGCCAGGGTAGTAAAGAGGACGTGCTCAAGTGCAAAGAATCTGCACGACCGTTGGTACCATGCAAAATGTGTTGCCACTGCAGGCGACTTGACACGGGAGGAATAGAAGCGGAGAACACCTTGTTCGCTTCAGCAGCACCAAAATCAAAGTGATCTACTCCCGCGATGCTGCCTCAGTGTTTTTGCTCGGAGTTGGGGCAAAGAGAAATCGAATGTCTGGAGGTGGCGAAAATTGGTTTCGTGGTTGTGCTCTGGCAAGACAAGCCGCTTCTGGCAAGTTAAGGCCAGTATAGTTCTGAGATGTTAGGACACTAAAAGCACAAAGTGGAGCGAATCGGTGTGTTTCCTATTCCAAAACAAACTCCCCTTCTCCCGTGGTGAGCACACCTTCACAAAGATCTGCAGGAAAGTGGGTCACCTTAAGCGCCTGAACTCTCTTGTCCCTCATTTTCGTTGCTGCCCTGTTTGAGTCAAAAGCATTTCAGCCCATAGTACATGGGCCCACTCGTCTTTTAGTAATGTATATATATGACTTCTCACGCACCTGCTTCTTTTCCAAGTGGCCAGATGCATCT